AAGAAGGGGCTGGAAAGAAGTATTCTAAGTCATGAAACCCAAAGACCTAATCCAAGATTGCTCTATCCAGCAAAGCTTTCATTTAGAATGGAAGGGCAGATAAAGTGTTTCTCAGATAAGGTCAAGTTAAAGGAGTTCATCATCACCAAGCTCTTATTATATGAAATGTTAAAGGGATTTATCTAAGAAAAAGAAGATAAAAAATATGAACAGTGAAATGACAGCAAACTCACAATCATTGACAAGCACACCTAAAACAAAAATAAAAGCAAACTAAGCAAACAACTAGAACAGGAACAGAACCACAGAAATGGAGATCACATGGAGGGCTATCAATATGCAAGGGGGATGGGGAGAGAGGGGGGAAGGTACAGAGAATAAATAGCATAGATGGCAGGTAGAAAATAGATGGGGAGGGTAAGAATAGTGTAGAAAATGTAGAAGCCAAAGAACTTATATGTGTGACCCATGGACATGAACTGAAGGGGGGAATGTGTAGGTGGGAAGGGAATGAAGGGGGGAAAATGGGACAACTGTAATAGCATAATCAATAAAATATATTTAAAAAAGAATTACAGTGCAGTAAATACCTAAGCTAGTAACATAGTTATTTATTATTAAGTATTGCATACCCTATATAACTGTATGTGTTATACTTTTATACCATTGGCAATGTAGAACATTTATTGACACCAGCATCCCCACAAACACATGAGGAATGTGTTGCACGAGAGATTGTGAGGCTATGTCATCACTTGGTGACAAAAAATTTTCAGCTCTGTTACAATCCTGTGGAATCATCATCATATATACAGGTCTGTTGTTGACCAAAACATCACTATATGCAAAATTTATTCATGGGTTTAGTAAACTAAACCCAGCACAATATTAAAAGAGTGATGCATCATTACCAAGTGGAGTTTATTTCAGAAATGTAAGGATAATTCATTATTAAGAATTCTATTAATAAAATTTACCTTAAAGATCAATAATTTTAAAAAGCCCTGGTTGGTGTGGTTCAGTGGATTGAGTGCCAGCCAATGAATCAAAGGGTCACCAGTTCAATTTCCAGTTAGGGCATATGCCTGGTTGTGGGTCAGGTCCCCAGTGGGAGGTACTCAAGAGGCAACTACACATTGATGCTTCTCTCCCGCTCTTTCTCTCTTCCTTCCCCTCTCTCTAAAAATAAGTAAATAAAATCTGTCTAAAAAAACATAAAAAAGAACCAGTCAGAAATAACAAATAAAGGTAATTGAAATGAAGAATACACTAAAAAAAAGGAATAAGTTAGATGAAGTATAAAATAAAATTTGCAGTCAAGAAATAAGGAAGCAGAAAACAGCAGCAAAAAGGGAAGAAATGTAAAAATATGAGGATAGTCTCAGGTGCCTTTGGGACAACATGGACAAAACTAACATTAGTATCATACAGGTTACAGAAGTAAAAGGAAAAGAATAACAAATTGAAAACCTATTTGAAGAAATAATGACAAAAAACCTGCCTTAACCTGGAGAGGAAAATAGACATACAATCCCAAGAAGCACAGAGTCCCAAAAAAGATTACCTCAAAGAGGCCTGTACCAAGACACATCATAATTAAAAAGCCAAAAGAGAATCTTAAAAGCAGCAAAAGAAAAACAGTTAGTTAGCTACAAGGGAGCTCTGTAAGACAGTCAGCTGATTTCTCAATAGACACTTTGCAGGCCAGAGGGATTGGCAAAAAATATTTAAAGTGATTAGAAGCATGGACCTACAACCAAAATTACTCTACCCAGCAAAACTATCATTTAGAATCAAAGGACAGATAAAGAGCTTTTCAAACAAGAAAAAGCTAAAGGAGTTCATCTCCACAAACCATATTACAAGGAATCTTAAAGGGACTACTTTTAAAAAGATAGAAGAAAGATAAAAAATATGTATAATAAAATGCCAATAACTACATATTTATCAACAATTACTTTAAGTGCAAATGAAATAAATACTTCAATCAAATGACATAGGGTGGCTAAATGGTTAGGAAAATAAGCCCAATGCATATGCCACCAGCAAGATATTCTCTCAGATCAAAAGATACACACAGACTGAAAGAAGAGTGATGGAAAAAAATATTCATAAAAATGAAAACTAAAAAAAGCTGGGGTAGCAATACTTGTACCAGACAAAACAGACTTTAAAACAAAGGCTGTGACAAAAGGCAAAGAAGGAGCCAGCAATTCCACTTCTGGATATTTATTCAAAGAAACCCAAAACACTAATTTTAAAAAATATATGCATGCACCCCTATGTTTATCATAGTGTTGTTTACAATAATTAAGATATGGAAGCAACCTGAAAGTGTCCATCGATAGACAAATGAATAAGGAAGAAGGAATACTATATATATAATGGAATATTACATGGCCATAAATAGAATGAAATCTTACCATTTGTGACATCATGGATGGACCTACAGGATATTATGTTAAGTAAGTCAGAGAAAGACACATTCCAGTGATTTCACTTATATGTGGAATCTAAAAAACAAAATAAATGAGCAAACAAAACAAAAACAAACTCAGATACAGAAAACAAGCTGATAGTTGCCAGATGAGAGAGTAGTTGAAGCCATGAGTGAAAAGGGGGAAGGGATTAAGAAGTACAAATTGATAATTACAAAATAGTCATGGGCCTGTAAAGTACAACACAGGGAAATAGTCATAATATTGTAATAACTATGTATGTTGCTAGATGGGTACAATATTTATAGGGGTGATCACTTAGTAATTATATAAATGACTAATCATTGTGTTGTATACCTGAAGCTAATATAATATTTTACAACTGTAAATTAAAAATAAATATTATTCTTAAGAAAAATAAACTTTTTCACTTTGAAGTACACCTTCATGTCACCAGAGTAATAGAAGTGATTATTTGCCACCTTTATTTCCAAAATTATTGTTTCCATGCTATTCTCCTATTGCTCTTTAGAATAGACACTACATCCATGGGCCTAATTTTTTAATTTTTTAAAAAATATACTATATGGATTATGCTATTACAGTTGTCCCAATTCTCTCCCTTTGCCCTGCTCCACCCAGCACCTCCCACTCCTGCAGACTATCCCCACAGCATTGTTCATGTCCATGGGTCATGCTTATAAGTTCTTTAGCTATTCCATTTCCTACACTATACTTTACATACCAATGGTTGTTCCATAACTACCTATTTGTACTTCTTAATCTACTTACCTCTGCACCCATTCCCTCACAGACCTCTCCCATCAGCAAACCATCAAAATGCTCTCTGTATCCATGATTCTGTTTCTGTTCTTCTTGTTTGCTTCTAATTTAAAAATAGTTTCTATTTTTAGATTCAATTGTTAATATATATGTATTTTTGTTATTTTGTTGTTTGTAGCTTTGATCTCCTTTTTCTTAAGTAAGTCCCTTTAATATTTCATATAATAATAGTTTTGTGATAATGAACTCCTTTAGTTTTTCCTGTCTGGACCTTCAATTCTAAATGATTGCTTTGCTGGGTAGAGCAATCTTGGCTGTAGATTTCTGCATTCCATGACTGGATATTTCTTGCCAGTCCCTTCTAGCCAGCAAGAGTGGAAGCAAAGGAAGGAGGGGCTCACTCAGAAAAAAGATAATGGCCTCTTCCCACCTTTCTGTCTGGGAGAAAACTGTCCATCAGGTCTGCCTTGATGTCATACTCTTCAGTTCCTCCCTGTATGCCATTGGTGACTTTCATGTTGCCACCCCAGTGCTAGAACTCAGAGGGAGTGAGTTTAGTAAGTCTGTTGTGAGTTCTTTAAGGGGCACTGCCTAGGACTCCAGAAGTTCTTTCACCAACTCAACCCCTGTCTGTTTTGCAGTTAGAAGTTATGAGGACTTATCTTCCTGGCACTGCAACCCTGGACTGAGGGGCCTTGGTTGGGGCTGGGACTCCTCACCCCTGAGAGATTCCTTCTGAATTTTTATCCACCACATGTGGGTATGGTACCAGCCTGTTTTGCATGGTCTGATGGGTGTAGTTTCTTTAATTCCATAGTTAATTCCATAGTTGTTAGGCTTCCATTCAACTCAATTTCTGATGGTTCTGAGTGATGGTTGTTCTATAGTTTAGTTGTAATTTTGACGTGGTTGTGTGATGAGATGAGCCATGTTTACCTATACCACCATCTTGACTGGAAGTTCAGGATGAGTTTCCTTGAGCCTAATTTTTTTTTCCATCTGTAAGAGACAGCTTGCTTGGATGGGCTCCAGGATTTTATTTTTCTGCTTTATTACATATTTTTTATTTTATAATTTAAAAAATCTGCTAGTACAATCTTTTTTTTATACTAAGTAAATCTGTCATATAAAAACATTTTAAAAAACTGAAATTGTTGGGCTTGTTTAACCCAACAAAGAGATAACTTTCAGAGGGCAGAAAAAGTAGACAGATACAAAATATAAACTATTCTTATTTAAGATATAAAGTGTCCAAATATTTTAAAGGCAGATGGATGAGAGATTGAACTCAATCTTTTGACCTCAAGGAATGTTAACTACAACCAATGAGGAGAATTTCTTGACTTCTACTCTTTCTCTTAAACATAACTTGCTTGCTACATAAGACAACAGAGTAACTTAGACTCAATCAGATGATAGAACAGAAAACTTTTACAATTACTTTCAATTGTAAAATTCTTTAATTCTATAATAGCCTGGTCTTCCATATTACCTGTAAAGAAGATTCCATACTTAACAAGATTGAAAACCTTGGTTCAGAAGCATCAAATCATAATTAGCACTTCAGTCATCAATCAATAAATGGAAAAGATATGGGCATGAAATAAAGAAGGGACACGAGACACCAGATTTTATTCTAGGAGACTCCAGAGTTCCCACTTCCTGTAAACACTACCTTCTGCCTGTAATGGCCATGCCCCAAAAAACAGGCAGGTTGCGTGTGTTGAGACCAACATATGGACCACCTTAAGAACTTGACTGTTTCTCTTTTTTTTTCAGATGTTCACCTCCACAATATTTGCTGTGATTGGATTCTTAGGTGCTGGGTACTCATTTATCATCTCAGCTATCTCCATCAACAGAGGTCCTAAATGTCACCTGGCCGATACTACGTGGGGCTATCCCTTCCAGAATGGGTAAAGTATATGCTGCAATGCCCACTTGCCATTACAAGGGACACAGATAAATGGCCTAAGGAGAGAAACTACACATGTCCTGTCATCTTAATTTACAAGTCTCAGGCATCTGGCTCTTTCAGGCAGAGCTGGAGGGTGGACTGGAGTAAAGTTGCACAAGACCTCACCCCTAATCTCACCTCTAACTGCTGTTCTCACAGAGAACATGAGCAATAATGAAAGAGGGCACCTCAGCTGGCGTGAGGGTAGGAGATTTGTGGTGTCCTCACTGACAACCAAAATTTATTAGCAGATACATGAGACAACTAATAATATTGATAGAGTATTGGGTTCCACTGCAAATCTTATAATAGAAAAGAAGAATGTCTACTCACTAACAGGGCTCGGAGCCTTTCACTACTACCCCAAATAGTCTATAACAAAGCAATTTTAAGGTGCAAATTTACAGCAAAAGATATCAGAAACATTAGAGATTCTCTGTAAGATTTTATGTTAATAGAACTCACTAAAGTAACTCCATATTTTCAAGTACTTTAGTTCATAAAGAACTTTCTTGTTTTCTTTTTTAAAAAGTATGATTTAATAACCATAAAAACCCCAAAAGGTAATTTACTTCCTGCCAAAACAGGTGTAATGAATCTGATTTGCGCAAAGTCAGTCCACTAGTTGGGGGCAGAGGCAGGGTGTCCAGGCTCAGTCTTTTCACGTTACACATTCTCTGCCTCTCGACTGCACTGTCCAACACAGTGGCCAGTAGCCTTATGTAGCTATTTTACATTGAAATCCATTTCAGTGAGGTAAACTCTAAAAGTCCTCAATCACATTAGTCATCTTCCTAGTCCTCAGCGCCACACGGGGCCGGTAGTGACTGTGCTGTGGATCACAGACCTAGGACACCTCCATGGACACAGGCAGTCTGCCAGATGCTGCTGGGCAGCCTCTAACCTCCGCGAGGGCGGGACCCTCCTGGTCTGCTCTCCAAGGCAGCCCTTCCTCCCAGCATGGTCACCGACACACATGGAAGGTCAGGAAAGACAGTTGGTCGGTCCTGCTGCACCAGGAAGAATGAGATCATTACCAGAAAAGCTATTGGACAGCAGTTTATTAACTGGAATGCATGTTATTAACTTACAGTGAGAGGCTAGAGAACCTGAGGGCAGGATTCTGTTGCAGGATATGCTGGTAGTGGTTCTGTTACGACCCGAGGTCTTGATGTGTTCACAAGTTTCACATGAAATATCATCCCTGCCCTTCTCTATAGTTAAACAGGAATACAAGTCCTCCACTACCTTCATAACACAGGCAGCACTGCCTAAATGTACTACAAAGAGCCCTCTCATCTTACAGAGAACTACTGGGGCCCCATTGCCATGGGAAGCCTTGTACTTTCATTTAACTTTAGGATAGGGTACCAGTGATAGACATCAATACAGCATTAAATATAATTTTTTATTCATCTGTTACATGAATAATACCATCCTTGATCAACTTAAGATCAATTAGAGTAAATCTGTGTCCAAAGCAAAGGAGGGAGAAAGGAAACACAACAGATGCTGAGCTACACACAAGGCGGCACAACATTCTCCCGTCTCTGACATGGGGCCACACGTGTCCCTGGCACACTCACACCTGCCCATGATGCGATGGGACTGATGGCCTAGTTCATGAGCATGACAGCCGATCTGTGGGCCAGCACGGGAAATGCCAGCTTGGGGAAAGGACAGGAAACCAGCTTTCAGAGTACCTTGTGTTTGTCTTTCTGACAAAGCAAGTTTTCAGTCTCATGACAACTGTGTATTGCACATTAGTCTGTGATAGACACTACCAAATGTGTTATCATATCTACTCCCCATGGCAGCCAACCCATCCATTAATAGGTATCAGATTAGAGACTTTTAATATTTTTTTAAATGAAGTAAATTTTTCAGGCAAGTAAGAACTTTTCAGAATTCTCTATCATCTCTGTTCATTGTGTGGATTAGATAAGGCTCCGAGGAATGTTCAAATACCTAAACATCCGCACAGTGGCTTCAAACTTATCATATGATAAAAAATTGCTTGTAGGGTTGTATTACAAAACTATATATGCTATACTTTCCAGGTGATTTATAAGGTAAGAGTGGTTCCGACTATTCATGGTCTTTTTCCCTCATGCCCTGACTTTAGAATTTAATCTCACATAAGGTGCAAGTCCACTTTCTGCTCAAGGAGAGAGATATGGCCCGATTGGTAAAGGAAGGCTTTCAGGAGGGCGGGTCCAGGCAGATTGCTTCTCACTGCATCCTCTGCCACCTGAAATACTTTCTCAGTGTTTCCTTGTCTTCTATGTCCCGTGGTCTATCTTCTGAGACAAGAGCTCACATTCCTTTTTGACTGAATCTCACACTGACAGCTCCAAATCTTCCCTCGGACTGCAGAGGCCCACCTGCATTTCAGTTAGCAAAGTGCTTTCACCCGCAAGGTTTCATTCCATCCTCTCAGAAAAGCTTGTGAGATTTTAACTGTCCTTCAGAGGGGATAGCTGAGGGCCAGAGTTGAGTGATCCCAGAAGAATGCTGGTTCATAATGCCTGGAGCTTAATCCTAGTTTTTTGACTCCAAGTCACAATGCTTTATCTTTTTAAAAAATATTTGTTTGTTTGTTTGTTTGTTTGTTTATAGAGAGAGGGGAAGGGAGGGAGAACAGAGGGAGAGAAACATCGATGTGCGAGAGAAACATATATCGGTTGCCTCTTTTACATGCCCCAATCAGAGACCAAATCCACAACCTAGGCATGTGACCTGATGGGAAATCAAACCAGTGAATTTTCCTTTGCAGGATGACGCCCAACCAACTGAGCCAGTCAAGGCACAGTACATTATCCTGACCACAATGCACATTGATTGGCACTATCTGCTTTTTGTATAGATCCCACCTAGCCAAGCTCCAGTCTGTTTTACTGGGCCATGGAATTTTCTTATCCATCGGATCCCAGGGAGTGAGCATTGCAGCAGTTGTCACCATAGCTGCAATCCTAACGCACGTACACAACTGCTTCAGAAGTAAAAAAGAGTAGTTACTGTACGAGCCCAAATAAAAGGACTCAAAACAGTTGCCACTCTTTCTTCATCACCAAATAGCAGCAGTGGCAACTGCTTCTCCTTCTTCTTCTTCCTCCTTCTGTTAATGATTAAGGGCTAAGTATTTTACATGAATTATCCAATTACTCTTCCTAATAAATATGAATCTGAGAAGTAGAAAAATATGAATCTTAAGAAATATGAATCTGAAGTAGAAAAATAAAGATCAAGAGGCTAATTTGCTGAGGGCTCCCCAGCTAGTAATTAGTAGAAGGAGACTTAATAAACAAACAAAATCAAAACACTTGGCAATACCTTACTTTGTTCTGAAGCTCGTCCCAACATACAAAGGAAGACAGACATGCTCCCTGAGCACCTGGTGACAACATGGGCCAGAGCTTCACGTGCATAAAAGGATGACATGGAGGAATGCAAAAACCACCTCCTCAAGGCAGTGACATGGCCTGGTTTCAGAAGATGAGAAGTGTGCCCTCCAGGAGGGAAGGGGCATGCATTTCAGAGAGAAGAACATGCTCTGAGGCAACTGAGAAAAGGCCCACATGCTCAGACAATAGCTGGAATTTCAGGGCAAATGTGGGGGAGAAGAAGAGAAAGAGACACCACATGAAGAGGGTGACTGAGAGGCAGGCTGGACCTTCAGGATATCAGGGAACAGCAGAGGATTTCAGGCAGGACATACCACTTGGAAGTTTCAGGATGATCATGGTGGTAGCGACATGGAGAATGAACAGAAGGGCTCGATAACTGGACATTGGACCAACAGTCCAGATAAGATCATGAGCATCTGCACGACAGTGGAACTGGGGCTCAGATTTCAGAGACTCTGAGATGGAATCATCAGGATTTACTGCAGGGCAGGGGGATGATCGACGTGCACTCAGATTTCCATCTTGGGGCCCAGGAACCATGGCTCTTCAGTGAGGCAGGATTTCACCCTGTATTTCTTAGAAGCATTTATTGGTGATCATGTTAAAGGAGCAAAGACAGTTAACATTTTCTGTCAAGAGAACCACACTAAAAAGGCAGCCTAAAGAAGGAAAGAGAAAATGAGATACTTTGAGATATGCCCTCTGGGCTTCCTTTGAAGTAAGATCTCCTCCCATCCAAGGTCTTCCTTTCTGAGACAATCAGCCACCTCTACCTTGACCCTGAGCTGCTGAAAAGGAAGCAGCTTGCACAGGGAATGGGGACAGCTGTGGGAGGGAAAACTAGAGGAAAGGCCAAGGAAATTCAGCAGTGGGGGGAGGGCAAGGGACATAGCCAAGCACAGCACTCCCTGGTCAGACTGCAGCCCTCCTTGCTCCCTGAGGAAGTGGTGAGGAGAGCGTTGTCCCACCAAATCACAGAACTGAATTCAATTAAATGATGATCCTGGACTTTCTGGTAATGCTATTTGCATTTGCACTTCAAAGATTACTTATGAGCAAGGAACCTCATAAGCTGCTCATGATGACATGCCCTAGAGCCAAAAGACACACCCACATTAGAAAGGTGAGATGGGACTACAGCACCTGTTCTCAGCTTCCATGAAGCAGGGAAACATACAGATGTTAAGAACTGTCTTTGCCCTAGGCTTGACTAGACTGAGGCTCCTGTCATACCTCAGCACATACCAATGATGTGCCTTTGGGCCATGAATTCATGTCTCAGCTCTTTCTCTGTAAAGGGGGGTAAGAGAAAGGTCTATTTCACAGCTTCAGGCGAGAATGAAATAATATGACGTACGTAAAGCACTCAGCACAATGACTGCCATGTAGTACTTGCTATACTTGCAGCATTATTATCCATTTTTTATTAATACAACTCATTGCTACAAGTGGAACTTCTTATTATGCATCAGAGCTTTCTAAAATGTTATGCTCCTATAATAATTTTGTGATTTAATTTGAATATTGTCAAGCACTTACATGAAGACCCAAA